AAGGAGAGATGAAACGTTTCACTAAAGAAGAACCCATCCAGAGGACCTACTTATTTTTTCTTTTTGAAATCCCTAATTACTTTGCAATTCTACGTTGAGAAATAGTCTTAAACTTTTGGAATATTTGCTCACACAAATGTTCACAAAATGGCGAACCTCACCTCGCCTTACTTTAGAATGACTGAGCCTTTCAGGTATGCTCACCATTTTACCCAATCATGGCCTGTTTCCAATTAAATTGTTCACCTGTGGAATGCACCAAACAGGTGTTTTTTGAGCATTCCTCATCTCTTCCAGTCTTTTGTTTCCTCTGTCCCAGCTTATTTTAATGTATTGCGGGCATCAAATTCAAAATGAGGGAATATTTGCAAAAAACAATTTTTTTTTATCAATTTGAACATTAAATATCTTGTCTTTGTAGTCTATTCAGTTGAAGATATGTTGAAAAGGATTTGCAAGTCGTATTTGGTTTTTATTTGTTTAACACAACAGCCAAGCTTCACTGGAGTTGGTGGTAAAATACAGAAGTGCTTATTTCTGTCTTGTCTTTGTATCAGAGCACCCCATGCCCCCTGACGTGACCCTGGTCAGAGTGACGTACAAKAGCCGGCAGCGTAATGAGGTGGAGCTGGAGTGGCAGGTGGAAAGCGATGCCGATGTCGGCTGGACAGGATTTTTTCTGGAGCACCAATGGGTGTCAGAACGTCCYAAAAAGAAAGGYATCAGCAATGGTTCCCTGGTTCTGAAGGAGGAAAGAGCCGTTTCCCAAGACTGGTACCGTGACGTCATCCAGGACCCGGGGGTCAGGAGTTCCACGGTACGTGGACTGACGCCAACGGTGACCTACCAGTTCCGCGTCACGCCCATCAACCACAGAACCGTCGGAAATCCTTCTGCAGCAAAGATTCCAGGTATWGTGAGTGAACAGAGTGAGGCAGCCCCATCTAAGAAATAAATATATTTAAGAGCAGAAAGAACAACTAATAAACATTTTTAAAGGGTAAAAGGTGAGTTAGATGATTAATTTAACAAACATTGATGAGTTTGAATGATTTCTGCTTTGATGACCCTAATGGCTAACATTTTTCTTTGTTTTTTCCTTCTTTTTTGTTATCCACTTAGGTGAAATACATAACACACACACACACAAAAAACACACACACAAAAAAAACACACCTCACAGTGACAGGGTATCTTCACCTTTCCTTTTGACCTCATTCCTTTTCGTTCTGTCAAATCTTCCCTAAAATATTCTAATGCTTAACCATATATTTAAATAACTATGTACAGTAGAAGGGTGTACTACAAAGCTAACAGATCAATTAAACAGGATGTTCAATCAAGATGTGTTGAGCCTATTAGCCTAGTAAYTAGTACCWAATTCWGATTTACTTCAGCCTATCTTACAAYTGATGATTTACAGATCATKGATTGAAGTATTTTTGTGTTTAAAGGTGAGAATGTCCCATCGGTACAATTTATTTCACTTTGATTTGACCAAAACTATATAATTTTGTTATATTCTTTTTTATTTGTTTAAATGTACATTTTTTAGCATAATGTGTAAATATAAAAGTTTAAATCCATTAATCAAACAAGTACTTTTTTGGTCGACATTATTCTGGTGCAACATGATTCTTTGTGCCTTCATAATCTGCATCTCTAGAACGTCTCTTGGATTTTTAATAATGTAGGTAATGACGCATTGAGGGCTTCCATTTAGTAGAAAGTGCAATACAGCCTGAAGAGAAACCCATCTTAATAATAAATAAATATTTCACCTCCTGATTTTATGAAACCTGCTTTGTAAAACACCCTTCAGATGAAAGAGTTGGTGATTTTCAACCCATTTATTTTGTTGACATATTCAACTTAAAACCTTTGAGTCATTAATACTGAGGGCTTCAGAATGTGTCTCTGAAATGGGTTTAGAATCACGTCAGCTGCAGAACTCGCCGMCCGTGTSGTGAGGTGTGTAACTGTGATGTGTTTGCAGCGGAACCTCGCTACAACATGTACCCCGCTGTGATCGGAGCAGCTATAGGCGGGATGCTGTTCGCAGCGCTCCTCACGGTGCTGCTGCTCGTCTTCATAATCCGCAACCGCCACAACCATCCCCGTGAGTCGCACCACACAAACAACTGGACTGTGTCGTAACGAGCTCAGAAACGATATTAATGTTTCGTTTCCTCCCACAGGACTCCACGACATGCTGTTCGGATTGTGAGTGTCTAATCTGAAGAGAAACGCCTTTYTTTGGAAAAGTACTATCATTCATTAAGAACAACGAATTTCTGCTGATGTTTCCAGGCAGCACAGCCAGTCGAGGGAAAACATTAATTTTCCAGAGGATGAAATTGTCCGAGCGTCAGAGGGAGGAATAGAGGAAATTGGTGGATTATCCAGTTCAGGTGAGACATCCTTACGTTAAAAACATGTTTTTACAAAGTTGAAGGTGGATTCTACAGAGGTTCTACTATAAAATTGGATTAAACATGCTTTAAAAACATTGCATTTTAAACATTTTACGTTAGTTTTTGAGTTCTCACATTTTTGTCTATTTTTATGCAGAAAAGGAATATTTGTTTTGTGTATTTTTCTTTACATCTGTCCAGAAAGTGTGACCAATTCACTAGAACTAATGATTCTCACACTGTGGAAAAAGTATTCAAGAGATTTTAGTACCAACTATTAACACTGTTGTGTTAGATAGTCAACACTACAGGTGATTCAATAAAATTACAATATTCAAAACTCAAAACAAACATTTAGCAGAGATTAATTTCATAATTCCTAATAGATCCTCAGTTTCCACTGAGTTGTATGCTGGTAGTTAAGACTGAGCACAGTGCTTTTATCAACAGGTAATATTAACTGTAACTAAAAACACAAAGTAGACCTATGTATTTAAAAAAGTGATTCTCTAAATTTCCGTACTGTAAATATTATAGTTGACAAGAACATAAATCTCCTGACGTTCTGTTCTGGCTTTTGGTTTTAGTGGCACTCCATTAAAACGTTTTTAAAGGAGTCACTTGGCAAACTCAGGTCTGACATCAAGCCCAGGCCTGAGTTTTAACAGAAATGGAACGTGGCAAAAGGCCAAAGTGGATTTTTGTCATCTTTAAACAACTTTAATCTGAAAAATGTCAGTACCATTCAAGCAAAAGCTATTTTATAAACCTTTACAAGTCCCAAATGTGTCAAGTTGTACAAATTATTCATAAATTACACAGATTTTCCTCCATTTTGCAGGAAGGGTTTGACATGTATGACYTTGCAAGGCTGAACTTAAACTGTTAAAGCTGCTGCTGTCATCCTTTGCCCTTACACATATGTAAATAACTATAATGTGAAATTTAATTTATAAATCCACTTTGGTTTTGGAGGTGCTCAGGTAAGCTGTTAGCTCATCAGCCTGGTCGGAATTAAACTTTAATTCTATAAAATGGGGCTAAATAAATAACTATCTAAAACAGGTAAGATATTCTTTGTTCATATTGTTTCCATTGTACATTGCTTCAAAGGATGTGAGCTCTGGTTTAAACACAGGAAAATAAAGCCCAGATTTAAAGGCACAGAAAATTAAAAATGAAACGACTTTAGTTGAAAAAAAGCCAAGAAGACTCTTGACAAAGTTCGGACACCTTACGTTACTGTGAAGAAAGCATAAAGTGAACTTTGGTTTCTTCCAGGTCCAACCATTTCCATTCCCCGGGCCTCGTCACCCCTGAGTGCCACTCCCACCCCGAGCCCCKCCCCCAGCCAGGCTCCTCCCCCCGGAGAAGACGAACCCGTCAGCGTCACCATCACGGTTAAATCTACAGGCTGAAAAGAATCAGAACTACTGTAGACCAGGTCGAGGGCCTCCATCCTGCAAGTTTTAGATGTTTCTGCMTCAACTCACATGATTTAAATGAACGAGTGATTGACAGGCTTCTACAGAACTTAAAGAGCTGCAGTGAAACAACTAAACCATGCAGGGCAGTGGCCCTCGAGGACCAGGACTGAGGAACTTTTACAGATCGTTTTGATCCACTTATATATTGAATTATTACATTTATATCTTTTTCTTAAACATCCATGTTTTACCTTTGAATTTAAACACCAGCAGGTTTTTAGCTTAAATTCAGAGGCTTCTAACTTTGTATTACGTCATACAAATATTTGTGTTTAAAATAATCACTAAAATAATTTCTCTGAATATTTCTGCACAATTTACTACAGGACATTTAGCACATGTGTTTTAATAATTTATTCAGCTTTGAATTGTAACAAACAACATACACAGAAAGTCAGTCTTTAAAATGGCAAATTCAGGACTAACGTGCACATACGGGCTTTAATAAAACTGCATTTAACCATGATGGTGTGTACTTTCTTTAAAACAAACAAAAAGTTTTAACCAGCACGTCACACACAAGAGGACATGAGTTGAACTTCAGACAAGCAGAAGTACAAAAATGCTTGTCTTCAGTGGACAAACATGTAAATATGTACAGCTCATGTCTTCATGATGCTGTGTTTGTGTGTAGTGATTTCTCATGTGCTGAGAAGAAAAACCTTCTGAGTGCTGACGACGTCACCGAGTTTCTGTTTTATCTTCACAAAGAGACGCTTGAACTCCAAACCGTCACCCTGAAAAACGAGCAAACGTTCACACAGTCAATGAAAACATAAATCACATCTGATTAACTAACTCTGAACTTTGTATACAAAATGTAGAAGTTAATACAACTGACCCTCTGAGGGACACCCTAACTTATGTGGCCCTTGATCAAAATAAGTTTGACAATACAGCTTTATAAAAGATATAGTCCTGAAACATTTCAGCACTTTCAGGACCTTGGACAGTTCCTTCAGTCCTTCACACTGTCTAAAGCAGTGATTCCCAACCAGGGGTACATGAGCATATTACAGGGGGGTTCGTGGAAAAAATTCCCAGTTGTGTAAAAAAAATTAAAAATAGGACTGAGCTTTGTAGAGCCCAAAGTCTAAAAATGTTGGGAACCACTGAGATACATCACAGCCACAACTAGAATGCCTCCTAAAGAGCAATACAGTTTGAAGGGGTGATTCAAATCTTTTGAAATAAAAAGATTAAAAAAAACAACAATCTCTAAACTCCACTTCAATAGAACTGAAATATCCTTTTAAAGATGGGACAAGTTATCAGTCATTAGACATTTGATTAAAAACCAAATGCATTTTTAAAAGTTGCTGAATATTTGTTTTTTTGGTGTGTGTTTATGAGCCTGTTTAGAAATAGCTGCTGCAGGTTTTACACATTTCTGAGACGCTCCGACTCACCTTAGACAGCCTGAAGTCCAGCAGCACTCTCTGATTCATCTCTAGCAAATGAACTTTAAAGATGAGGTTGTTTTTACGTTTGTCCAYCGTGCTCACAGTCACCTTTGGGAAATAATTTTTTTTTTTTAAATCAGTAAGCTGAAGTGAAGCTCTTGCCAACTATTCTTACACTTAGACACAGACTCACCTGTTTGGTGCAGGTGAGTTTAAAGGCGAACGCCATGCCATCGCAGACGTCTTTCAGGGCAGTTAAGGAGGCATCAGCGTTCACGCTGGTGAAGAATCGCGTCATTCTTCGCACCAGTTTCTGCCAGGGAGACTTTTAACAGAGAGAAACACACAGTTTAACAGAATAAAACAATAGGTTCTTACAGCCCCACATTCACAGATGAATAAACYTATCAAGTTCAGCGACTCACCTGACTGGCCCCCGGCGTGCCGACCATCTGACTCCCCAGCAACATGTCTCCAGGTCGGGTCGGCTGGGAGAAGCTGACCTGACCGTCAGCAGGACCGATCAACAACATGGCTTCCCAACCACTGGCTGCCAAGTCAGGCTGAGAGCTGGAAAACTGCATCCTGTCATCGCTACAGAGAGACAAAGACGACCTTCAGATAAAACCATCACTGCTCAGAGTAAAAAAATAAATAAATACTGTGTTTTGACCTGTTTGGCCGAGATTTGAGATCCACATCAGCTCGAAGAACTTTGTTCCCTCCTGAAGTCTGAGGACCTGCAGTCACACAAAAACAAATGAGTCCAGAGAAAATRGACGCAGCAAAACGTGAGATTTGTTTTAATAGGCCTTGAAAATATGAGAATATGCAGAAACAAATGAATCAACTAAAACAAAAGAAAAGCAGAAACACGAAAATATAAAACTGTCACTTTGTTATAATTTATTTATTTTTTCTTCATGTTTATGTTATATTTGTACAAATCTGAAACTAAAAACACTTGCCTTGAGTAAACCASCGGTCCTTCTTTATGTCTGGTACTGTGATCCGCGCTTTGGGACTGGGATTTAATATTTTTGATAACAAACCTGAGGAAATAAGTTAAATAAGAATTTTAAAAAGATCATTTAAAATACAATATTAACTACAAAAAAAAATACTCCACATCAAAAAAAATTTTTTCAACGTGAAACACGTTTCTAAACAAAATTAATCTTACCCGTTTCTTTTTAACGTAAAAGCAAAAACAGTACTAAATATAATATTTAAACAATATTCTTTGATGCTGTAATTTCTCACTTACTAAGAGGCAAAGGTTGTATTTTCTTCCAAGGAGGTAGGTATGTTTTCTTCTGAAGCCAGTCTGAAAACTCCTGGCAGCTCTCAGTTGGCTGATCCCACGGCAGCTCTTAAAACAACAACAAAATGTTTCCTTGTGAAACATAATTCAGGTGTTTTTTGTTTCCATGGATGACAACTATAACAGCAGACCAACTAGAGACAGCAGAGCCCGTTTCAGAAAGCAGGATAAGTGGAAATCCTGAGTTAGTTCTGGGGTAACTATGTATCCTGGGTTTTATCCTGGGTTTCAGAAAGCCAGATAGCAGTTATCCTGAGTTAACTTATCCCCACAACTCACTCTGTGAACCAACCCTGCTCTGTAGCAGGATTACCGGAACAAATCCTGAGTTTTGTTACACTCTATGTTAACATGATGCTTCAAAAAGAATAAACATGTTGGCTCAGTTACTTTTATTAATATAACTTACTCACTCGCACAGCTTTGTTCCTTTTTAGCTGAGAGCTGCACCAGGACAGAGTCAGACAGGAAGTGTCCTTTTCTAAAGAAGCCTGTAGATGTTGGAGCGTTAATACTTTGCATAAACTGATGTCAGGAGAGAGTGATAAGACTGCGATTAAATGTCTTTCTGGATGAATCTGTTTGAGCCTTTTTACATGTTTTTATTTGCTCAGGTTTCAATCTTTTTCTTCAAGTCCAGCTTGTAGCCGTTTCACAGGAAGATTTAGGGAAAGAAAAATGATCAAATTTCATTTACATTTCTACTCTCTAATGAAGTTAGGATCAATGGTTAAAATTCTTACAGAATTGTATATTTTTATTTTACTGTATATAGAATTTATTCAGGTTTTTTAAATGAAATAAACTTCTGAAAATAAAAAAATTGCACAAGAAAGTTGAGCTCCAGAGGTAGGTGGAGTCTCTTCAGCTGATCGTCCATCACAGCTCTTTTTGMGAAAAATTAACAATTGTTCTGATTCACAATGAAAAGTAAAATAAACTTATATTAAATATTGGCAGAGAGAAGATGGAGTACGGTAATGCACATTATTTTCAGGGGGGGGGGGATAATTTTGTGTGTTGAAGCAGTGAATTATGTAATTTATTTATTAAAGGTTGAACATAAGAGCTTATACCTGATTTTACTGTTTTCATATTTAACCTTTATTTGCTGCCATGTCCAGTTAGTACCAGCTGGGTTCACTCACACACACACACACACACACACTTTTATCCACTTGAATATAGAATAAAAATAAATATAAAGAATAAAAGTTTAGATTCATGTAAAATCATTATCATTGATTTGATCAGCAAATCTCTGCCTCAGTAACTCTCTGTCTCTTGCAGCAGCAACAGTATTGCTATTTTATTTTAGTTTTTTTTTTAATATATGTTGATATTCTCTATATGTAATCATTAATACTGTATGTCTAGTTTCAGCGCAAGAAATGGACTTCCGGTCTTCTTATTTTCTCCTGTTGCCATGATGAATCGTGTTATCTGATTTCCATTGATGAGGGCTTGCTGCTCCAACTTAACTCAGGGTAACTTGACTCAGAGTTAAGTTATCCAGTTGATATGACCTGTTCTGAAACCAAAAACCCCAAGTATCACAGAGCAGGGTAAGTTGACTCAGAGTATCTGCGTTAACCCAGGGTTTGTTAAGCCGGCTTTCTGAAACTGGGCCCACTTGAGATCATCCTGTATTAAAGTAAACAATACATCGCTCCAACAAGAGTTTAACTGGCTGRTAAGTTAACATTAAACAACCTGCGAACTGTCAAAATACTGCTAAAGGACAATTTAGTTCTCAAAAAGTCAGGATACAAAACAGTTTTCAAAGCCCTAAATGTCCTCAGATGTTTTGTTAAATCCATCATAATGAAATGTAAGGAATATGAAACGTGTAAATTTATTAAGTGCATGAAGGAAAGACAACCATGATGCCATGACGTGTGCACCAAATCTCAACTAGAGTCTCTAAATCTAAACAAACTTTAGTCACGACTCAAAATACAAAGATTATTTGTTCTGGTGAATGCATGACCTTACCTCCAGCCAGCATGGCAGTTAGGACGATCCCACAGGCCCAGATATCTGCAGGCTGAGCGCTGTACTCTGATTGGCCGATAAGCTCCGGCGCAACGTACGGCAGAGTTCCACAGAGACGGTTCAGAAAGCGTTCTCGCCCCTTAAAACGAAACATGGTGGCCAGGCCAAAATCTGTCAGCTTCAGGTTGTCTAAAAGGTAAAACAACAACAACACGGTTAGAATCAGTGACATTTAAACGCAACGACGCAGATTCTGTCTGCTCACCTTTATCGTCCAGCAAAATATTCTCAGGCTTTATGTCTCTGTGGGTGATGCCCAGACTGTGGAGGTACTCCTGTGGAGYAGCAGCTAAATGAATATAAGCCAAAAACAGGAGCAGGAAAACAATATTTACATGTTTAATCCACTCACCACAGCTTCTATTAGCTGCTGAAAAAACCTGTGAGCATCCTTCTCTGGCATCCCTACATCAGGCTCTAAAATGACAGAAAACAAAGTAAAAAAAAAAGGCCTAAATATACAGATAATGTGTTGAAGATATAAAGAAAGGTCTGTTTATAAAAAAGCGTGTGACATTTTACCGATCCGGTCAAACAGCTCCCCTCCGGTGCAATACTCCAGGAAAAGATAAACACTTGGCCCCTCCTTCCGATGACCAAAAAACCTGACGATGTTGGGGTGGTTGAGTATCTGACAAAGACATGTTTTTAATACTTCATTCAAATTTTTGCTAACCTCTTAAATATCAAAGTAAATTTTTTATTTTTAAAAAATCAAAATCCAAACAGTGGATAAAGCTTGTGCTCATTAATCTCTCAGAGGAAATAGTCTTAAAAGCACCATGACACGTAAATCTCACAAAAAAACTAATAATCTGCCTACCTTATGGACGCAGACCTCCTTTTTGACATTGTCAGCACACTCTTTAGACTGAGAGGTGTCGATAACCTTCACAGCTACGGCCTCTTCGGTCTGTCTGTTCACCAGCAGCCTCACTCTACATGAAAACAAAACCATCACAACAAACACAGCAGGGAATAACAAGAGGTTAAATCTTTATTTTAAACACAGGAAACTAAACTACATAAACATTAAGTTATTGTTCCAGTTTTTAAACTGAGTCGGACGTTTATACAATAGACAGTACTGTGCAAAAGTCTCAAGTCATCACTCATTTCTTTATATTTTGTTACTGAAGTCATAATTTTTGTCCATATTTAAGTGCTCTATTTATTTATTTATTTATTTATTTATTTATTTATTTATTTATTTTCCCTGGTGTTACTCACTGTCTTTTAAATATTCTGTAGGTTTTAGCTGCCTTTTGATCTATATCTAATTCTGATCTATAAAATGTCTCCAAAAGTCAAAAGATCAGTGCTGTGTCAACACAAAGCAAAGAACCGATTTAAAATTAGACAGCCTATCACAAAAACACTTTTGCTCCCATTTTCTTAGTTGAAAATAAGTAAAATACCAACAATAACCCAGCTGGACTAACATAATATTTCAGCACCTACAATGTGAATGATCATTCAGGTCCTGGCAGATCTTTGACAAATTTGTTCCCATTTCTTATTAACTATCAGATACTTTTCATCGCTGTAGTTCTTTGTCAATTTTCACAAGTTTCTTCACGTTACGGTCAGGTAATAATGTATCTAATTTTGTATCTGATTATGATGATTCTTACTCTCCGTAGGCTCCTTCTCCCAGAGTCTGAACCAGGTCCCAGTCCTGAACAAACGGAACCGACATGATGCTACAGAAAAACACAGAAAAGTTTGATACAGGCTGTCAGAAACACACAGACTCAACAAGGAGTTTCATATATTATTTACCGACTTATCTATGCGGAAACCTAAAGAATTTACACAATGATGTTGCATATCAAACTGATGGAGAAACACGAAGCTACATTTAACGCGATGCTTCAAAAAGAATAACAAACATGTCGGTTCAGTTACTTCTAACAATATAACTTTCTCACCCGCACAGCTTTGTTCCTCCACTGTGTTTTTCATATGGGGTTATTCACATAAAGTCACTCGAACTCCTTCATTTGTCATAAGCTGCGAATAGAAAGATTTGGCGCTCTGTTGTTTTACAAGTTATACGTCACTTCCGGGAGGTCTTCTTCTCCTCCTCTATAAGGGCAAACTTAACACAAATGCTGCCCCCGCAGGACAGATGATAGAATGCAGACTTTTTCTTTCTTTCTTTCTTTCTTTCTTTCTTTCTTTCTTTCTTTCTTTCTTTCTTTCTTTCTTTCTTTCTTTCTTTCTTTCNCTTTCTTTCTTTCTTTCTTTCTTTCTTTCTTTCTTTCTTTCTTTCTTTCTTTCTTTCTTTCTTTCTTTCTTTCTTTCTTTCTTTCTTTCTTTTGGCTGACTCGTATTAATTTTACACTGAAGAGAGGAGTATGTTAATTGATCTATGATATCATTATCTAAAAAAAAAAGGTTGTCAATAGTAATGTAGGAAGCCCAGCTTCTCATTTGCTTTTAAACAGGCAGTGATAAGTAAATTGAATCTTTCTCAACATGACATTAATTTCACTAATTTCTGTTGCAAACTCGTTACAAGTGACCTGAAATTTCTCACTCTTCAAAACCAAAACTCATTCATTCAAGTCATTAAGTCATCAGACAGACTGTTTGCAGCCTATTAGAGAATGAATGAAAACCTCTAAATTATCCTTAAAACTGTTCTTCTACAAACATCATCTGAGCAGAAAGGACATGAAAAAGAAACAAGTCACAAAATTACAGTATAATAATTCAATAAACGCCTCTGTAATCTAGTAAAAGTAAGACATATGACAACATTTTCCGACAGATATGTACACAAGTTTTATAACTTGTTCGGTACAAGACACTAATCTAAAACCTTTTTCCTCTTATTTTGAAAATAGTTTTGTTTCAGTGATTGAATCTGAACTTCCACTGAGACAGATTATTTCCTTCAGCTGATCACAAAAAGTGTTGACTCATTATTTAACTAAAACTCTCACAGAATAATCTGTTGTTTGTTTGTTTTTAGGATTTAATAAATAACCAAATCAGCAGGTAAAAAAAAAAACAACTCTCTCTGGCTTTCTCAAACAATGAAGCAAAAGTTTGTACTTTGTCTTTATTTCACAATGACTTTCACACGTTTTTTTAATGCAACATACAGTATGGTCATATGGACACATGGTGGAAAATTCAAGATAAAAAAAAATTAAAAAGTAAACATCAGGAGGTGCAAAGCAGTGAAAATCAAATTTTCTAAATTAATTAATTTATCACAAGTTTTTCCATTCATATGTTTTTGTTTGGCTTAAATGTTAGATAGAGCACAAGTTAATTTATAAAATGACTGATCAAGTGATACTTCTTTCACATGGATCGATCCTCTGGTCACAAAGTTAATGAGTAACAAAGTGGTATTTGTCCAGAACATCACCGTCTGCTCTGAAAATATAATTTATGTTGTCGCAGCTTCATCTCAGTTCTGTTCAGCTTCAACATGGGATCATCTGTCCTCTGCAGCTGGTTGGCTGTGCTCTCATGTCTCCTCTGTTTGGGTAAGTCCCTTTTTTTTAACACAACCCGGGATCTATACTGTATAAACATATTTAAATTTCTAAATTTCTTCTTGTATCTCTAAGTATTTATTATAGAGCTACAGTTTTAAATAAAACCATCAGGGTAGATGTTAAGATTTATTAAAATCTTGAAACTCTTCAGTTGAACTTTCATGTTATTCCTGAGGTCAGATGTGTCAAAATTCACTAAAGAAATGTCTTTTTCTGTTATTACCACTGAATCTCTGTATAATATATGACAATTGCCTATTTGAGAAAGCAACAGATAATGTATGTAAATGATATGTGTGACGTCAAGTGGAAATCGCTATTTAGCAGAAGCTAATTGGTGTGCTAATGGTTTTCAAAGTTACTGAAAACCAAAACTTATTTGTGCTTTAAGTGGTTAAACAGAACTGTGCCTGTTAGTTGTTTGGGCCAAATAGGGTTTCAATTTGAGAAAATTATTTTCATGCAAAAGCTTACAATTAAATAAAAAATCATATATAATAAATACATTTGATCAATCAGCTGTGAAATTTATACAAAATGAAGGTCAGTTGAAGAAAAATATGTGTAAATTCAGCTTAAGGGACCAAAACAATTACTTAACAAAAAGATTGAGGTTTTTTTTTTTTGGTAGTCTTTTTTTTAATAAAACAAATAATAATATAAATATTTGCCCCATGCAGTTCTGGGAGGAAAATGTTATTTTATGGATTTTTTCCCCTAAATTCAGATGTGTGACCTTTGACCACAAACCATCTCCCTGCAGGGGTTGAGGTTC